TTAGTCAAAAATAAAACCTGTGGCGTTTGAGGAGATGGCTTCGAGGTCCAGCTAAAGAAGCAGTCTCCGCTTTGTTGATAAGCACAACGGCGCCTGATATTGTTATGTCTACGCTTGAACTACTATTTGGCAATCCAGAAATAATAATTTCAAGAATATTGCACGATTTGAAGAAATTGAATACATTGCCACAAGAGTATCATAAAGACATAGTGCCATTTTCTATAAAAATAAAGAATTTTGTGTTTTCTGTGCATGAGCTTCAGCGCGAAGAGTATCTACTGGGCATTGATGTGGTAAACATGCTGCTAGCTAAATTACCCACAGTTTTACTGTCGAAATGGATAAAAAACAATTATCCAGTTATAGCTAAAGGACAAGTTGATTATTATCACGTGCTCCTAACTTTAGGAACCGTGATGGGTGGGCCAAATTATTCATGCGCCTCCCGAACGCCGCTAGAATGGTGTATACACGGAAAGGTACCGCTTTCGAGTTATTCGATGCTACAAACACTCCATTCGACGCTTTTCATTAGCTCCGCTGATCCTTCCGCGGTCAGCGAACGTAATAAAGATGATGAGCTTCGTAATCTTCACGATGATGTGCAACGTTATTTTTCCATTGAATCTATGGGAGTTTCTTCTGCAAAACCACGACAGAATTCAGAAGATCAGCTTGCCTGGAACTGCCTAGAAGAAACATCCACACTCATCAATGGTAGATGGCAAGTGGGCTTACCCTGGAGAGATAGAAACTGTGTATTGCCTGACTCATCACCGATGGCTATGACACGATTAAAATGTGTGGAACTAAAGTTAAAAAGGAATAAAGAATATGGAACACTGTGTCATGAAACCATTCAACACTTGTCACGGAATAATTACGTTAAAGACATTATTAATAATAAAATTACACCAAAGGCGTGGTACTTGCCTCATTTCAAAGTTTATAATCCAAACAAAAAGAAACGGCGTTGGTGTTTAAATGGAACAAAAAAAATGGAATCAAGAACAGAGACCCTTGCAAGTGGGAGATCTGGTTTTCCATGTGGACCCAAATGGACCTAGAAATATATGGCCTAGAGGCCTCATAAAAGAGACATGTCCCGGAAAAGATGGACGAGTAAGAATGGTCACAATTAAAACAAAAGGTGGGATACTGACACGGTCCGCCGCTCGCGTCGCTAGAATTCCATTGACTACTGAGTGCTGCTGAGTGCACTTGGGTGGGGCGTGTTAGCGACGTAACTATTGAAATGTATTTTATTTTAATAATGATAGCATAGAGGTTTGTTAGCACGAGTCGAATGACGTCTCGGGTTTTTTCTTTTTGTTTTTAGTTTGTCATTTTTATATACTCTTTTAAAAACGTGACTAAAAATTTTTCCTTTTAAAAAAAATTACGTCGTTTTCTTTGGTATTTCGGACCTTTATTTTTTACTGCGAGCCCTCGTCGTCTACAAGTGCAAAAAAGCGAAATAATGAAAAATGGTTTTATTCACAAACCTCGTCATTTTGTTTTTTTTTTTTTGTTATTTTATCGCTCAGCGTGAACCAATTAAGAGGTTGTCGGTTACATTCGCTCACGGTACAATATATTCAAAGGAAGTTCATGAAGTTGACATTTTCTACTTTACTAAACTGTGCTTTAGAATAGTTATGTTAGTTTTTCATAATATATAAATACCCACCATCAATATCATTATTATTAACAGGGCACTGTTATTAGCACCAGAAAAATCTTGGAAGAATGGATTAACCCACGACGTAAGGCATGTATGGTTTTGTGAGTGCCATCGGCTCCAAATACAGCTGTGCCCAAAGAATTAGCCGGTTTCTGAAACACGAAGGAACGCATAATAATCATATATCGCCTCTGATGGCTGGCCTTCATTAACTTCACAGACTGAACTTGTTAACCTTTACGTATTTTCAATAAAATAGCAATGCTTATATTACATGTTAAACGACGTTGATTATATAAAAAAAATTGTGGATGAAATCAAAAGTATGAAAAAAATAATCGCGATTACTCCCTGTACTATTTGAAGGTAGCAAATATTTGCTCCATACTTTTCAACGTTAACGCAATTTCACATCAAAAGCATTCGGGTGGGCGAACAATCAAATTAACCGGCCCTTTTCAGCCATCCAATTTTGCCGATCACGTTACCATGGTAATCGTATTCTAGATTATGCATAGTCAGTTTGGTGAGTAGGCGCAATTTACAAGGATCTATGTGGTCAGTGACTTCAACAACAGTCCACTGTTTAGATCAATTAAACTTTCTCATAGTTTAATAGACGTAGGATAATAGGATAATATTCATAGGAAAGAAGGACATCGCATCCATGCTTATGCTTAGCTTTATTTAAACCCTGTAAGTATTGACGTGCACTGAGATGAGCGCTTGTTGATTCGCGGGTGGCACCTGGAGTCCTGAATTACGGGGTTGCCCTAGCTTAGGCTCCAGATCGCACTTAATAAATAAACATAAATTGTTTGCCTATCAATCAATGATTGTGTGATAAATAAAAAACTGAGTATTATTATTATAAAAACAATAAACTGATTATTATAGGAAAGAAGGATGGAGCTCGTTGGCTTTAGCAATTATGCAGGTAGTCGTAGAATCCAAATTTTTCAATAGAAATAAAATCGTTTTTATTCATACGCTATTATTGAGAATACTATACTCGTATTTCTATCTAATAAACGTAAATATTAAGGCCGCACACTAAATAATAAATTATTAATATAATAAATTAAAATGTAAGTTAATTGCCTTAATTTTAATTTTTACGCTCACAAACGAATGTCCTTTATCTCACGTCACTAAAATAATCTAATAGTTTCGATATCTTATATGAGTATGAATTATCGTGTTATACGTGAATTATCGTGTACAAGTATTGCGACACTATGAGGAGTAAGTATCGATACTCTGATGGTATCGGAACATACCTAAGTAAGCGCCTTAACATGTTTAAGTAGGTAATCGATTAAAACTTTACCATCTCTTACTAGCGTAGGGAAACCAATATATTACCATAGAATATAATAAATATTATGAATAAAAAACAAGCTTTCAATCGCATTTGTAAAGTCAAAATGCGATGCCATCGGTTTTTATCTAAACTACTTGGAAACATAATTAATACCTTTATATTTAAATAGTCCGGAGTTCCATATTCACAAGAATTTGCTCAAAAACGCGACATATGTCCATCATCGGTCGTTTCACACTACCAATAGACATGGTACTTTACACCATCGAAACAAAGTATAATGGAAGGTAAATTCATGAAAACGTTTTTAATAGATAAATCGAATACTCAAAGCTTAATTATATCGAAACCTTAAAATGTTAGAAAATATCCATAAAAATCATACATTTTTGTTTAAACTGTATTAAAACAGAGTTAACAATCTCTTTGACTAATTTATATGTGATAAACGAAGAAGATAATTGATTTCTGTGTGTTAAATAAGACCTTTACTTATTTTAATTAAAATAACAAACGTATCTTGCTCCCGTCGACTTAGTTTTTCCATTACCCAGGCCCAAGCCGGTGTGAAAACGAGGCCCCCAGACGATTGATCGACCCGAATTTTGTAAGCTCTCTGATAAATAGGTGCCAAAATGCTCTAGGGGATTACCACAATCTTTAATCATCATCGACATCGTGTTCTGAAAACATTTTGTTACAGGTTGTATTTAAGCACTAGACTTATCACCACCATTTGTCGGCGTGAAATTAGGGATCGATATTCCTAGAGTGCCAATCCTTGTTGTGTTAGGCATATCTTACTATTTTTTTCTAAAGGAACCAAAATAGTTTAAAGCAAAATAGTCGATATCAGTGATATTATTAATAACAAATATTTATTCCATTTACATGTGCTAATAATAAAAATTAAACAGGGTGCTATTTTCACTGTATCTCAAGTGTATGGTTAAGTTTATGGACCATGAAAGAGAACCTAATAAAGTAATAACGTCACCAAACAGTCCTATAAGAGGAGGCGAAGGTGAAACCAGTGATCTTTGATCTATAAAAGAAGCGTCGTGTCGAAGTCACGATTTGTCTATCCTATCCATTTGCTAAATGAAAAAAAAGGTAGAGATAAATCGTTCAAGTTATTCTGCGTATGATTCAAATAAATTGTGTAAAGGCTGAGATGGTTTTTAATCCCTTTGTTGTGGTGTAATTTTTTAAGAGTTACGTTAGAATATTATCTCCGAAAGCTGTAATGTGTGTATTAATAAAATTAATCATATGAGAAATAATTTTTTTTTAAGTGTTTCTTTCCTATCACCTGTTTGGGTATCACTTGCATAGGTTAGTAGTTAATTTTTTCATGTATTTTTTTCGTTTTTACGCAGTCAGGTTTTTTTTCTTTGAATATTTTTTTTATTATATACTTTTTAGTTAAGATTTGTTAACTTCGTTATAAGTTGGTAAATTTCGCAATCTAGTCATTTCATTGAGGGAGTTAATATCGTGGGGATTATTATTAAATTACGGTGGTCTAATCTACTAATGATTAGTCCCTCTAGAGACTTAACTCTGCTCAAAGCTACATATGCTTTATTTTTTTTACAAAAAATATGTGTTTTTCATGCTCTTTTCACTGTTTTTGGTTTGTATATCATTTATACTTTAAATAAAACTAAAATCAATAAGTAATAAAATTAGCGAGAATGATTGTTTTGTTAAACAAATTTAAATCGTTATAAGGAACCTAAAGATGATTTGCTACCTATTCAATACCTATTCAACGACACCCCACTTGATAATATAGTTCATCGATTTATTTATTTTTAATTTTGACAATATGGCGTCTGGTTGTCGCTGTGGTGAATTACGAATATTCATACATACATATATAGCCTGATAAACACATTACCCTCCTTTGCGTCGCGCAGTCGGGTAAAAAATGTAAAACTTGAAATATCGTGTTATTTACGAGTACGAGTTCCACTGTGGTCCCAGTGCTGCGGAAACGGCTCGAAGGGTTAATGATGTGTATGGCGGTTGTGTCGCAAAAGAAAACACAGTGCGTTTTTGGTTCCAAAGTTTTCGTTCTGGAAATTTCGACCTGCACAACAAGCCCCGTGGATGACCGGAGACCCAAGTTAATAATGAAGAATTTCAGGCTATTGTGGAAGTGGATCCATCGCAAACCACGTCCGAGTTAGCTGCAGGCTGCGTTGTTAGTTGGAAAGATTAAAAAGCTTGAAAGATGGGTACCTCACGAATTGAGTGAAGCAAACCGGCAAACGCGCTTCGACTGCTGCGTTACATTACTTAACCGGCACAATCATGAAGGGTTTTTAAATCGAATAATTACTTGTGATGAAAAGTGGATTCTCTACGATAATCGAAAGTGCTCATCGCAATGGTTGGACCCTGGTATGCCAGCCAAATCCTGCCCCAAGCGAAAATTGACCCCAATAAAGATACTTGTAAGCGTTTGGTGGACTAGTGCCGGTGTCGTTTATTACAGTTTTCTCAAATCTGGCCAGACGATTACAGCAGACGTTTATTGTCAGCAATTGCAAACCATGCTAAAAAATAGTAGCTGTTAAACAGCCGAGGCTGGTCAATCGCTCTACGCCACAGCCACTTCACGACAACGCTAGATCACACATTGCACAACATACGGCTACCAAATTAAAAGAGCTTCAATTGGAATATCTAAGACATCCATCGTACTCCCCCCGGACCTTGCTACAATAGATTACCATTTTTTCGAAATTTGGATAACTTCTTGCAAGGGAAAAAAATCAACTCCGATGGGGCAGTGCAAATCGCCTTCAAAGATTTTATTGATTCCTGTCCGGGTGGTTTTTTTAGCAAGGGGATCAATAAACTACCTATGAGATGGCAATAGTGGATAGACAACAATGGTTAATACTTTTATTAAATAAATATATTATAATTATTAAAAAATATTCGACTTTTTGTGCCTTCCATACCAAACACCAATTTCATATGTAAGGACCTAATATTAACTACTTAACATAATATTGGTATGGTCTATGAATAGCAGACTGAGTCTATGAACTCTCGAAAGCATACCAGATATTGGTGGTGCACTGAATCAAAGATATGAATATGTCTAGGTACGCAATTCATACCGGAATAGTGAAACTACTATAACTAAGACTTTAATTTTAATCAACTCGTTCTTTGTTCCGATTCTTGATCAACTCCCGTCTAGAAGTACAAAAAATTGTTTCGAAAACGAAGAAATACAGTAGAAATAATACGATTATATTACACTTGAATCACTGACTATAAAAACAACATTAAAACTAGTTTCAGAAAAAAAAATTAATAACGTAAATAAAATGTTGACATTTTTTTGGCAATGTTGCCACTCCTATTCACTTTCAATTTTTTAACCATACGGGATCTTTTCCTTTTTATTTTACGTGGCTGTAATTTATCTAAATATCTTCAGTTTTGCCTTTGATTTTAGTATTGAAAACTATAAATATAAGTTACACTTATATTGTTTGCGTTCTCGAGTGGAGAGGTTCTCGAGTGGAGACCACGAACCGGAAGACGCAGCGTGGGTCGACCCCCGACTAGATGGACGGACGACATCGTCCGAGTCGCGGGCGGCCGCTGGATGCAGCTGGCGCAATGTCGTCCGTCGTGGCGTTCAAAGGGGGAGGCCTATGTTCAGCAGTGGGCGTCTTCTGGCTGATGATGATGATGATGATATTGTTTGCTCTTACAAGTGCTGGTAAGACCTTCATATTAAGGGGAAGAATATCTGTTCATAATCCTACTCATAGTTACTGCTTAAAAACGTGAAAATGTCGAAAAGTATAGGTATACAGTTCTGGGGGCACGGATGTTTGCCTGCCAAGTCGAGCAAAAAGTTAAAAAGGCCCGTACCATACTTAGAGAAATTAAGTCCAATCAAGAGGCCAGTAAATGAGATAATTTAATATAGATGAAGGCGTATCGCCTAAGACAAAAAGTCCAAAGTATTTTAAAAATGAAATTTTCAAACACACCTTGTTTAAATGTATTATATTATTATTGACAACGAGCTTTCGCCAGCGGCTTCGCCTGCGTGGACCCTAGGAAAATGTTAAGTGGGATAAAAAGTATCCTATTATCTAAGTCACCTAACACCCTATCCATATACCAAATTTCATCAAAATCCGTTCAGTAGTTTCGGCGTGATTGACCGACAAACATCCAAACATCTAAACAAAGAAACTTTCACATTTATAATATTAATACGATAATAGGATATCATTCAGAGTCCAAGATGAGTATCATAACACTTTACAATCCTACTACCCTCGCTTCTTGAGATTATTATCAGTAATCTTGCGGCTAGAAATGTTTATGCATTGCACTAAGTTTTACGATAAATCTTTTACCGTCTACGCTGTACGTTTATGAAATGCGCTTAGAAAAGCTAATTCTATTAATTTATTTAGGAAACTTGTTAGAGAGCACTTCTTACTGTCCATGAAAGTATGTATATAGAAATATTTTATGTTTATATTTATAATATAATTTGCATGATGATAGTTATTGTATTATTACTATACGTAGGTTTATTATAAAAACTAAAATCATAACTAATTAAGAATATATTTATAGGTACACCACCCACTACCCCAACATTAGGTCTTTTATATTCAACTCCATCCCAGGGTAACTTGGTGTTTTTTAACATAATGTCCTGACGAATATTAAATTTGAAATTTGCATTCACAGTGCTATATTGATATTAAGGTTAAAGAAAATGTCCATAAACTTTCTTTAGGAGGAATATTTTCTGACGTACATAAGCACACTTAAATTATACGATGAGAAATGATAAACAGAGTTTATGAGGATATCGTTGTTCATGAGTTGTTCTGTGTCCGCTATATTGGAATTATAATGAAATCAGGATTTTACAGTGTTCTTCTTGACAAATAGTTTCGTTCGATATCCATGCTATGAGTGTTTAAACCGTCCACCGAAAGTGTTTCTGTCATCTTCGGTGGTCCGCTATATTGGATTTAGACTGAAGTATTTTTTTTTCCTAGCCAACCTTTTGATTTTCTTATCATGGAAGTTGGCAAAAAAAATTTTGGAGTATACTCTAATGATTGATATAATATTAACCCGATTTCGGGCAACCCATATAAGATTTAAAATAATAGCACTTAGCATTACCATGTGACATTACCATCTAGACTAAATATGCGTGCAAAGTTTCAGTTTGACCGATTGAGGATAACTGTTTCAAAATTTTGTTCCAAGATTTGACAAAATTAAAATCTGTTTATATTCACGTAATATTGAAAAAAAAAATTGTGAAATTTTTATTGGAGACTAATGTTTTGCACCCATAATTCAAACTGGTTTTATTTCGAGGTTTTCTAATATAAATGATAAAAAGGCGAAAAGACTGTGAACGACAATATTCTCAAAATCTAATAGATATATCAAAGAAATTGTATTTATTTAGTAGTAGTATATATATCTACATCACTCGTTCATTCATTCATCATAAGGGGTAAAATTTTCGGTAGCTGGTAATACAGTAGGTATCTGTTACCCATTTTGCCGTCCATTCTGTTCTACGCATATATTTTATCTTTGTTTAATTTTAAGTTTAATCGTATATATGAGAGAGACAATCATACTTAACCTTTAAATTATAAATGTTATTTGCAAAGCTAGGCCAGGATTTCGAAAAAAGTGATACTCACTTTGGTGCATCTGTTGTATAGGATCACTTCTCTAGTTATTAAAATCATTGGAAATCAATAGAAAAAGGTAAATTAGTAAGTACAGGAACAGTTAAAGCGGCTACACCAGGTAGTAATTATTATAATAGAAGGCCATAACAATAAAAACATATGTACAGTACATATACAAAAAATAAAAATATATGTTTAATTATACACAAAAAAAAGAATATAAAATAGAGGAGTGCAATAGCGCAGTGGTTAACATGCCCGATCTGCGATAAGATTGTTGGGCAACTTTCGTAAGTGCTGGTCCTAGGATAGGTGACTAAAAAATATTTGCATGGTGCCCGCATGGTGGATCTCGACCCATTTCTGTTTGATTTGATTCGATTACGTCCAAAGGGAAAGTCTGTACATTAATAGGTCGGTGATGTAAGATGATAAATAAATAAAAGAATTCCAATAAAACTAAATAAACTATCCAGTTCCATATATCCCAGTACGGCTCTTTGTTACCTAATTTCGAGCTTATATCCTTACAGCAGCTGCGTCCGATTTATTGCTTAACCTTTCCTTTTACGGATCGAATTGAAAGCTATAAATTATACTTCAAACCCAAATAAGGCTCGTAACTTACGTCGCACCAAATACCTTCCTAATGGGCGATCAGTCTAGATAGATGAGATAGCTGCAACACAGGATACATCTAAACAGTACAATTTGTCTATAAAAAACTATATTGTTACTTTTATGTAAAAAACCGTGCCTTGTAAAAAAAAAAACAGATTCAAACTCTCCGAGCGCAGCGCTATCACGTCATAGAGTTTCAGTTAAATAAAACCTTTATTTGTCTTTTGAAAAAGATTTTGTTTGACTGGACCTCTATGGTATGACAGCGCAGCAATCATCAAGAGTGTGTAGCTGTTTTTGTAATAGAATAGCACTGCAGTTCTATGTGCCTATTCCATAAGGAATCTAGAATAGAATAGATTTTTTCTATATTATATTCTATCCTAGATTCCTTGGAGACTAGGCAGACAGAATCTAAAAAAGAATAGACTGCTCTGCAAGGAGTCTGGAAGACGTTGGATAAACGTTATTTATAAGATAAAGCAATAAAAGCTTATTTCATGGTAAAAGATGCGGCGATGCAGCGGTCAATTATTCATAAATATACAGATCAAAATTAGGAAAATTATTTCATTTTTAAACTTTTGATTGCGGTACATACTTGTGATAGGAGAAAATATCTACCGCCACGCGCGGTACCTGAGAGATAGAGATAGCATGCATTCTGCTGTCTTCTTAGTATTACTTGAAAAGACACACCTGTCACACACAGGTACCATACTGGATCTGAGACAGTTGTTTGAAGAATTTATGAAACAATCTTTTTTAGTTTTCGTGCATTATAATCATACT